AGATATCCAGCATTTTTGAATAAAAATTTTTGAGACAAATTTACACCTTAATTTTTTTTTAATTCTAGTATGCAAACTTATTTCAATTTACATATATAGTCCCTATTGCAATTAAAATAAACTGTGATAAATTAAGGAAACCAATAGCTCACAAGTGTATATAATGTTTTGCCGCCAACAAAATGTATAAAATAAAGCTAAGAATATTTTAATAAATTATTTCATGTTGCAATATTCTAGTATATTCATGTCCATCTTGATTCCCTGTTGACTTTGATGTGTATTTCTGGTTTTAAATAATTATTCAATTACTTCATTATTTTCATTCTCGATCATCAGGCTACTCTTTCAATAATAATATCTGCATGAGAAATTCCTTTCTTTTAAACTGAATTAAATCCATCAAGTGATGATGATCAAGAGTCATAGTAAATTACTTTTCTATATACTACCTCCGCTCTTTAATATAAGAGATCATTTAATTTTTATTTTGGTCCTAAATATAAGATCTCAATCTACTTTATCTCTCATATTTATTTATTTTTTTAAGGTAGTCCTTATAATAATAATAGTTCTAGTCAATATACTTGATTAGCAAGAATATTCTAAGAAAGACAACACCTATTTATTACAAATAACTAATTTAACTAGTTTTCTTAATCTACTCAAATTAGTCAACTAATTCTTATATTAAGCACTAAAGGTAGTAACTCGAATTGAAAGCTTATTATTAACTCGTAATGATAAAAGCGAGGGAGAGATAATTTGTATATTAATCATGATTATGCCTTAATAAAAACACTGAAGTATTAATTATCTGCATCATCTAACCACTAAGTGACAATTTGAAAGTCACAATCTGATCATCATAACTGCTGAGTCGGTTTTTGCCGTCCATGATACAAGTCATCGTTCAGAAATTAAACTGCAATATATATTATGAATTAACTTTCACATTAATTCTATATATATGCAATCTATACACGTACGTAAAGTAAAATACTAGTGCATAAATTAAAAAAAAAAACACCAAAAATTGCATCATTCATGATTAATTAGTCCTTTTGACCTCAAATTCTCTGGGCCACTACTTGCAACGGATAAAGAAGATAAAGACAACTTGATTTTGCCTACAAAATTAGTATAATTTGACACGTGGACGAGCTTCTCTCTCTTCCATTATGTGTTTTTTTTAATATCTAATTTGCTTTTTTATGGTTTTCTCATTGAAAAATGAGGAGTAGAGAGGGGTAACTTCTAAATTAAATAATTGATATATTAATTTATGTGTAATTATTTAGCCACCACCACACGTACGTGTGAAGTCATCCAAAGAAAGGCTCTTCCAATATCACGAAAGGCCAATTAATGACCACTTGGAAAGCCATTTTTTCTTTTTGCCATCCACGTGGAAAGCCATTTATAGATTCAAAATTATTACTCCCTCCATAATCACTTTAAAATTTATATTTACTGTTGGATTTAAGATCGGTATTTCTCTCTCCCTGTGTGTAGGTTAAAAAATAAATAGCCTGATCAAAATCAGAACTCTAACATTGTTTTTTTAAGAGGTTTTATTCGACCAATTTTAGTTTCTATTCTATATCTATTAACAATCGATTAATACTAATATATTGAATTAGTCAAAGTTCAAAAGATTCTCATCCAAAGGAAATTAATCAAAATTGTGGTGGGAATTAATTCAATGGCTTTAAATTTAATCTTCACATGTCCTCATTGAGATTTGCAGAATACACGTGTCAATATTTGAATGGGGCGTCCCATCGATCGCCTTTTAAGTATGCAATGATCTAAGAAAAGAAAAGAGAGTCCAAAGCATAAGACGCATGTGATAAAAACAAAAACACAGCAAATTAATTAAAGAAAAAATAAAACCAACAAATTTAAAAAATAATTACGTAATCATCAACGCCAATATTAATATAAAATATACAAAAACTCAAACAAACAATACTCTACTGTACAAATCCAACATTTTTTTGGTACACGGCACTGCTATTGAGTATATGAACTCACTATAAAAGTACTACCTCTTATTTGTAATATAAGAGTTAGTTTAACTTTTAATTTAGTCTTAAATATAAGATCCTAATTCATTTTGTCTCTCATATTTATATATTTTTTTCCAAAAGTAGTCTTCATAGTAATGCATATATTAAAGGTTCCATCAAATAGTAGTTGTAATTAATACACATGATTAGTAAGGGTATTTTAAGAAAGATAATACATATCTATTACAAATAAATTTATTACAAATAACTAACTTGACTAATTTCTTTAGTCTACTCATTAAATTAGTTAACTAGCTCTTATATTAAGAACCGGAAGTGGTATATAAAGAAGCATATATGCATGTAATATCCCCGACAAAGAAACTTTCATTGTCTTAATTCACATGAAAAGGAAAAAGAAGAGAAATGAATAGGGACTGACAAGAAACTGAATTACCAATGAAGAAACTCGTCTGCGTTGATGGGAAATAATGCAAAGGCACAACAAAACTGAAAATTAAACCAGTGCATAAGTACAACAAGAAGTGGTATAGTCATTAACGAATGAAAAAAAAAAATGATAATATTAATAAATGGTGATCGATGCAATTGGGCAGTTATTATGAGCATCTCTATGTTACTTCCATGTCGTGAAGGGCTCTCTATCAATTCCATTGATAATGCTTTTGGATAGATAATTGATCCTTCCTATATGTTTTTCTTCTTTTCTCCTTTTTTAAATCTTTGAGCGAATGCATGCATGGCTGCTTCCAAATGTATCGGAAAATACAAAAAAAAAAATCGAGGAAATTATGTTTATAAATATTAATTAGAAATTGTAATTATTCATATCTTAATATGAAATATGAAAACCCTACTAAATCATAATATTTATAAGTTACGGATAGCTATGAATCATTTGCCGAAATTTCATAACACGGCCAATTGTTATTTATCTAATTGAAATTAGAAATTACCATAAAGATAACTTGTTATAAGGTTTTGGAAAAGCTTACTACTACATTTCCTAAAACATTATTGTAATATCTAAACTTTTGTAAACACTTTTGATTGATGAATGTTATCATAATTTTTAAGACCCATGAAGTAATTAATTTATATATCAAATTTATGTCTTTAAATTCATTTTTTATCTAAAATTTACATATAAATGCAATTATCAAGAAAACGTAAAAGTTAGAAATGGATTAATTTTTTTAGAGATATTTCTGCATATAATTTTTTTTTATTTTATTGATGTATTCCCTCGCAAATAGTATTTCTTATTTCAGGCTTTAATAAAAGTTACAAATGGATTAATTCCTTTGGTCAATATTTCTTAATTTATTATTTCGAAAAATAAAAGCATTGGCAATGGTAATTTTAAGTTAGGTGTATTTCTCAATTTGATCAAAGAATATTATAGATACCAATGTTTTTAGCGAAGGGGCTAAATCAAGAAACAGCCAAATATATTGGGACAAATTTTGATCATAACTTTATGTGTAACTAAATAAATTGAAAAAAAACTATGAAAGACCAAAATAAAATTTTGCTGTGCTTAAACTCCCACTACAAAAAAATTGACTTTCAGCGGCGACAAAAGTCGCCGCCGAAAGTTTTTTATGGCGACAAGTCGCCGCTGAAAAGTCGTTGCCATAGCAGCCGTGGCTGAAAACTTTTAGTGGCGACTAAAAAGGTCGCCGCTAAAAAATACTTTCAGCGGCGACTTTTAGAAGATTCGGCGGCGACAAATGTCGCCGCCGAAAACACTTTCAACGGCGACAAAAAAGTCGCCGCAGAAAACACTTTCGGCAGCGACAAATGTCGCCGCAGAAAACACTTTCGGTGGCGACAAATGTCGCCGCCGAAAGTGTTTTCTGCGGCGACTTTTTTGTCGCCGCTGAAAGTAATGCCTAAGAAGAATTGCCTTTACCAATGCCACGTCATCACCGCCGGTGCCATGTCATCGTCTCCGGCCGCCACGTCAGCACCGTCGACCTCCACGTCATCACCGTCGACTGCCACATCATCACTAGCCACCTCCACGTCATTGCCACATCACTCCTCATCGCCACGTCATCGTCTAAATATTTCCACCTTAAATGTGTCTTCTTCCAGGATCGAACTCGTGACCGCCTCCTTTCGTGTCCAACCTTCTTGCCGCTGAGCCAGATTGAATTTGTTTGTTAATATTGTAAAATAAAATATATATTATTATATTATACTTTCGGCGGCGACAAAAAAAGTCGCCGCTAAAGGTCCACTTTCGGCGGCGACACTTTTGTCGCCGCTAAAAGTCTTGGTTTCAATGGCGAACTTTCAGCGGCGACAAAAAAGGTCGCCGCTGAAAGTCTTGGTTTCAATAGCGAACTTTCAGCGGCGAAAAAAAGTCACCGCTCAAGGTTCACTTTCAGCGGCGACAAAAAAAGTCGCCACTGAAAGTCCACTTTCGGCGGTGACAAAAAAAAGTCGCCACTGAAGGTCCACTTTCAGCGGCGACTTTTTGGTGTCGCCGCCGAAAGTGGACTTTCAGCGGCGACTTTTTTTGTCGCCGCCGAAAGTCGTCGCCTAAAGTCTGTTTTTTTGTAGTGTCCATGTGATTATCAGCTAATTCATTCTAAATCAGCTAATATGCACTGACCACGGTTTAACTTTGTTACATCAATCTGTCACAACCCAGTGATAATTGCTCATGTCCATATTATTTATTATTTATTTATACATATAATAACAAGAATAGACCGCTCAACACACAAAGTCCTAAAAGGATGAATTCCAAGGACAACGGTAATTATATAATAAGTTAGATTTCTAATTATATATATATTGACGTGAATTAACAGTATGGCTGGTTGGACTGAAATAATAAAGGACAAATTTAAAATTATATATTTCCCTTACCTTGTATATATATAGGGCCCCAAAGTCCTCAGTGCCACACAACCTTAATCTTATAATTACTTTCGTCTTCTCGTGCACTTCCCAACTAATGAGCTCTCTTCCTGAAACAATGTCTGAAACAGTCCCAGATGCCTGGGATTTTAAGGGTCGTCCTGCTCTCAGATCCAAATCTGGTGGATGGACTGCAGCCGCCATGATTCTAGGTACTTCCTTAAGTTTTACTAATAGCTACCTCTGGTTGTTTTAATCAAGAAGTTACTGAACAAGGTTGTCTGGTTTTTTTTTTTCCCGTTGTGGTGATCTGAATATTATTAGGTGGAGAAGCTATGGAGAGAATGACGACGTTGGGGATTGTCGTGAACTTGGTGACTTATCTGACAGGAACGATGCATTTGGGAAATGCTTCATCTGCTAACATAGTCACCAACTTCTTGGGAACCTCCTTCATGTTGTGTCTGCTCGGAGGTTTTGTGGCCGACACTTTTCTCGGCAGGTTTGTTCAGAATATTCCCAGATTCAACTTCATGTTTTTCTTTTGTTTCCATATGATGATTAATGATTATTTAATTCAATCCTCTCTTCTTCGACGACAGATACCTCACTATTGCCATTTTCGCAACCGTTCAAGCCACTGTAAGACTTTTGCTCTGCATAATCTTTTTAACTGTTTTTCAGTGTTTGTTTAATTGGAACTTTGGACTTTTCTCCTTAAAGATTCGAATATTTCATTGGAAAAATAGTTGGACATCGTATAGAATTAGCATAAAGACGGTAATTGACTTGGTAATTAACGTCGTTGTTGTGACACGTAGTTGCCATATACGAACTTGGTTAAAATCATCACCGTCTCAGATACTACCTCTTATTCAAAATATAAAATTTAGTTGAGTAATTTGAATAAGTTAAAAAAAGTTAATTAAGTTAGTTATTTGTAACTTGAAATACCATTGCTAATCATGTGTATTAGTTACAACTATAATTTGATGGAACCTTTAACATTTGTAATAAATACTACTTTAAAAAAAAAGATAAATATAAGAAACAAAGTATATTAGAGTTTTATATTTAGAATCAAATTGAAAGTCAAACTAACTCTAATATTAAGACCGGAGATAATAGTATATAATTTTCATCTTCATCCGGTAGTCATGGAGATAAATTTAATTTACCCCTGGGCTAAATTAATTGATATGTATAAATTAATATCCTAGTGTGAATAACTAATATTAATTATATTTATTATGGTATATTATGCTATATTTTCAGTTTGATGTGCTTTACACAATACTATTTATACTAGTGTGAATAAGTAATATTAATTATATTTATTATTATCACAATGCTTGTTGATAGGGAACAATAGTATTTGAAAAAAAAATAGTAGCTCTCAAACACAAGCATATTTTCATACCTTTTCCTTTTGAATGGATAATAATAGCCCTACAGAGAATAATGTAATTTATAGAGATACTGAATTCTCAGAGTTTAACCTTTGTCTTCCTGTTTGTGGTGCTAACTAAGCTAGGATTAACTTTTTAAACAAAAGATCAATACTTATCATTAATTAAGGTGAATGTATGATCCGGTTTATTGTTGGATCCAAATGAATAATATTTCAGGGTGTTGCAATCTTGGCGATATCAACAGTAATCCCAAGTCTTCATCCTCCAAAATGCAACCCTAAGACAGACACCAAACCATGTGTCCCAGCCAACGACATGCAACTGACGGTTCTCTATTTAGCTCTCTACATTACCGCCCTTGGAACCGGCGGTCTGAAGTCCAGCGTCTCCGGGTTCGGGTCGGATCAGTTCGATGAATCCGACAAGTCGGAGAAGAAACAGATGATAAGGTTCTTCAACTGGTTCATCTTCTCCATAAACATAGGATCCCTAGCTGCGGTGACAGTTCTTGTGTACATTCAGGATAACGTGGGAAGAGAATGGGGATATGGGATTTGTGCGTTTGCCATTGTGATCGCTCTTATTGTGTTCTTGTCGGGTACAAGAAGGTACCGGTTCAAGAAACTGGCCGGCAGCCCGTTGACACAGATCGCGGTGGTGTTCGTCGCCGCCTGGAGAAAGAGACACTTGGGTTTGCCATCGGATTCGTCGCTGCTGTTTAACGTAGATGATATTGCAGATGGAAAGAAGAAAAAGCCTATGTTGCCTCATACAGAGCAGTTCCGGTAACATATCTTGCCCTCTTAGTTTCTTTCGTTGTTCCTTTTTGGCCGTGATTTTTTTTCCTTCGTTTAGTTATTACCGTTCAAATAATTTTTTCTTGCTAATTACTAGAGCATACAGCATCTTTTCATCGTCTAATTTCTAATATATATACATACAGATATATATACTCCCTTCCTTAATATAAAAACTTGATAACTAATTTTAAAAAAATTAAGAAAAATAGTTATTTATAATAAATGTATTAACTTTTCTAAACTAACTTTTTTTTAATTATTTTTTTGCCAGCAACTTTTTTTTTAATCATATGCCTTGAAAATTGAAATTACTCTTTGATGGGAAATCTGATAATGAATAGAGATGTTTTAGAAATAATTATAATTAAATTTTATATACATACATTTAGAACAAAATCAAATTCTCCAAGTAGTTCTTATATTATAGCATTGGAGGTAGTGTGTATATTTTTCTTTTAGCTTCCCTAGTAAAAAAGAATCGTTAGATGCAGGGGGAAAACAATAATTAAAACCTTATTGTCTTCATCTCTGGTCATCATCAATGATGACAATATTGGTCCCCTCTCTTTCTCTCTCTCAATTCAATAATTTCTTCTTCTCTTGATTTTGGAGCGTATGGTGTTGCCCTTCACGTTAATCTTCTATTTATTCAAAGCTAACGTTAAGTTATATACATATAGTGTTGTGCAAGCATATAAAAAATCTATCATCAGTGAACAAGTACGGGGGTTGAATTTTTGAAAGCATAAGTTGTTGATTGACTAATATTTGTCCGATCTTTATAAGACCTAATTAACTAATTTGAATATCTTAATGATGTTAGTTAAATTAGTTAATATGATATGTTTTTTTTCTTAAAACACCCTAATCATTTTTCTTAATTCCTTTCCTCCTCCTTCTATTTGATTATTGCCTGGGAGAATATTAATAGGTTAAGTTGGAAAAAAATTTGATTAACATGTTCAAACTTTAAAGAGCGGAGGAGTAGTAATTACTCCCTCATGTCCTATATATAAGCTCAAACTTCATTAACTCTCATTTAAAATTGAACAACTCTCTAATTTTATTCCTGTTTAATATACATTATACTTTATATAAACAAAATCAATACAATAATAAATAAAAAGTAAAATTGTACATCCATATAAAAAATTTCTTTCAGTACCCTCTAAATAGGATTATAAATAGGATTAGAAGAGTAAGAGAGTAAATGAGGGAGGCAATAAATGAAAAGATGATGAAAAACAACATATGGGAGTAATATTAATGAGAGAGGGGGAGTATTAAATATAATTAAAGGCAAAATAGAAGAAAAAAGTAATAAATACTCAAACAACCTGAAAAATAAAGTTTATATTTTGGACCAAATCTCTCTCCAAAAGTAAAGCTTATATATAGGACCGGATGTAGTATTTGCTTGGGTAGTTGTTGGAATGGGTATCAAGAAGAAAACAATATTGAAATATAATGTTTGCTAGAAATGAATAAAGGGTGGGCCTCTTATGTTCGAAAATAAGTTCATAGTTATGTAAATCAGAGGGCAAAATGGCCATCAAGTCGTTTGGCTTGTTGTGGGAATTATAAACTCATCCAATGACTTGATTAGCTTGTTTCCTTTGGATTATAATTATAGCCATAATAATTAATAAGGACAAAACCAGAAGGACCCCTCTTTGTCTATCTCTGATAGTACTTCTTTGGTCATTGGTGGCCTGGTGGGTTCTTTTAAGACGATAATTGAAGTCAGGGGCTATCGCAAAAAGGATGTTTTAAGAAAAGCATATCATATCTATTATAATTAACTTTTTTATTCTAATCAAATTAGTTAAATATTTTTTAAGAGGAGTATTATTTTTTATAGGATTGGAAAATGAGAGAAATTATCTTTTCTTGTCATGACTGGAATTTTTTATATTTTCATGCCCCATTTATTTTTTTTATATTTCTATGTTGGGGAATTGGGAGTATAATCTTTTCGCATCAAATTGCAGCTTCTTGGACAGGGCAGCAATAAAGAACCCAGAAATGCCTGAAGAAACAACGAAAGAGAGAAGATGGTACCTATCAACCCTTACTGATGTTGAAGAAGTGAAACAGTTAATAAGAATGTTACCCATATGGGCCACCACCATCATGTTTTGGACAGTCCACGCCCAGATGACCACATTCTCGGTGTCCCAAGCAACCACCATGGACCGCCACATGGGAAAATCCTTCGAGATCCCGGCTGCATCACTCACCGTCTTCCTGGTCGGAAGCATTCTCCTTGTAGTTCTCATTTACGACAGAATCATCGTACCCATCACCAGAAAATTTCTCAACAACCCTCATGGAATGACCCCATTACAACGCATAGCCGTTGGATTATTCCTTTCAATCCTGGCCATGATTGCAGCAGCAGTCACCGAGACCAAACGGCTCCGTTCTGCACAATCAAATGGGTTTACAAATCTTCCACATGCGGCGATTCCGATGAGTGTGTTCAGGTTGGCTCCACAGTTCTTGCTGGTCGGAGCTGGGGAGGCATTTACGTACTTAGGACAGTTGGATTTCTTCCTAAGAGAATGTCCCAAAGGGATGAAGACAATGAGCACAGGGCTTTTCTTAAGCACACTGTCATTAGGGTTTTTCTTCAGCTCAGTGTTGGTGACGCTAGTTCACAAGGTGACAAGTCACACGAGGCCATGGCTAGCAGATAATCTGAACAAAGGAAGGCTCTATAACTTCTACTGGCTTCTGGCTATTTTGTGCGTTTTGAATTTTGCAGTATACTTGTTTTGTGCAAAAGGGTATGTGTACAAGGAAAAGAGACTCGCCGAGGAAGGCATAGAATTATTGGAGGAAGACGAGCAAGATGTTGCTTTTCATGCATAACAAGTTTTGGCTTATCTCTAAGGCTTGGTTTGGATGGACCAAAAAAATGAGGGGAAAATAGAGAGGAGAGAATACTACAAAGAAGAACTCTCAAAAATATAGCAAGAAAATTTATTATTTCTGAGAGTTTTTCCTCGCAGTATTCTTTATTTTCCTATTTTTCCTTGTATATTCAAACGAAGTGACAAGGTCCTAGTTTCTTCTGTTAAACAGTTTAGGACTAAAAAAGGAAGAAAACCCATTACTCTAATATAGAATAGTCTGAATTCTATCCTCAGTACTATAATAAGTGTGTGTGGGGTTTAGTATGCTTTAATCAGCATCTAAGGTTGTAGGATTTGGATTCTGTGCATGAGCGTGATGCGAACTTGTATCAGGTTTATGTTGGTAAAACGACATCATTTTGTATTACTAGGTGTGATATTCTCTGTTGATGACTTTTTAGCAATAGTATGACATGTTGTCGGTCTTACAATCTGAAATAATGCAAGGTTGTATTATATAATTACCCAATAATGGGTCTATAATAATGTGAGAACATCGCATTATTTTAAATAGTAATAATAATGATTTGATTTATATTATATGTGTCAATATTTTAAACTATATATATGTTTGATAAGAGGGTATTTTTATACTTATGTAACTTGTGATTCTATAATTTGAATTAAAAACTTATGATTTCAACTTTAATGTATCTCAAATTAAAATAAAATAATAACTAAACCACAAAACTTGAAAGTATATTTTATTTAAAAAAGAAAACCTTGATATTTTTATCACTAAAAAAGAGCTTACACATAGTAAAACAAAATCAAATGTTGTTGATATTAAACATAGTGATAAAAATCATATTGATAATATTGCTCTCATTTAGTGTTTAGCTTGTACTTTGTATAATGTTTAGGACAATGACTTGATTTGGTTTAGTTTTAAAAATCTGGATAACAATAGCATTTTGTTTTACTAATATTAATTATTGAAAGTTTGAACTTTATAAGGTTTATTATTTTGTTTTCAAACAAATCAGGATATTAAAAAGAAAAATAAGGGGCCAAAAACTTGCACATTTTTAAGCACCTAGACGAGCCAGGCTAACCCGGACGCGCCTATATAAGAGCCAGGCTTTGTAAAATATGCACATTTTTAAGCACGAGCCTAAACGAGTTGGCCTGATTAAATTCTGGAGTTTGGATTTTCAGAAATAAGTTTTGCTGTGCTAAGATAAGTAATAACTTTGATAGAGAAAGTGGGTAGTAAGCATGCAGGGGATGATGCCTTGGCCGGGAAGGAGTTTGATCAGATTTACCAATTCTTTTTAGGAGTTTTGGATGTTTGTTATATCGTTTACCTAATTGTTTATTTTTCCATCATGAATAGAGCAGAAGCTATGGAGGTTGTACACTGGTACATTGATCATGCATGTTCATTTTGTTTTGGAGATTCTCCTTGCCTATTTTGTTCAAGTGGTGACTGAGGCGAGAGGAGATGGGATGCAAAATGCGTCCCGACCAGTTTTCCGTGACGTGCTAGTCCCGATCCCATCCTGTCCCGTGAGCAGCCGGAGGCCTGACGCTGCAAGACTACAACGCAGCGTTTCTATGTTTCTTCTCGTTCGCGCAAATGCGATCTTTCGTGGTCGAGTCCTTGTTCCGGCCAACATTCACCGTCTGTTATTTGTCGATCCATTTGCAGCGCCCCATGACTTCGTGCTTCACCGTCTTCTTGGATCTTATTCTCCTTCGACTACGAGCTACGTCGCATAGCAGAACGGAGCCCGTCAGCTCAGAGCTTCTCCTCCTTCATGGACTGTCGTGGTCAGTGGAGGTCGGCGCCTAAAAGTTAAGACTTCTTCCGTTTTTGGTGATGTAAAAGGGAGACGGATTTTATGATGAAAGTTTCGTGATTTTGAACTGCTGCTTGCCACGGGGGAAGCTCAATTGGAAACTTCAAAATGCTCTGAAATTTTAACGGGTTTTCCTCATTACCGTTGATCACATTTGAAGAGTGGGACTTATCATACCCTGGTTCGTATCCTATCCCACTCCAGCAATGAGTGCAGTGTACCTGGCACCAATGGAACTCATGCTGCTTCTCAAGAGCTAAAAAAATCATGGTAGTGAAAATCAACGGGCCTTGCTTTTGTTTTTTTTTTTTTTTAGAAGCTGAGTTTTAAGCTTTACTTATGGGTTTGCTGTTCCTTTCAATTTAACTGTGCATTTCTCATGCAATTCTCTCTCTCTCTTCCTGGTTTAAGACAATGGCATCGATAGGTTGCAGCAAGAAAGCTGGGAAAAGGAGTCTCAGAACTTTCAATTTTCTGGTATTGATCTTATGAATCTCAAGCATCCTGTATCCCATAAGGAAAAACAGGTTCATGAGAGCTCTGCTGGTAGGGAGTTTATAATGGAAGTAGAGGAGGATGTAAGCTCTATTGGAAGGCAGGAAATGATGATTTTGTGAAACAGAAAGTGTTGAGGCCTTGTCCATGGGGACTAATGGTTTAAATAAGGAACAGAAGAAAATAGAAGAGTTAAATCAGATAGTGAAAGGAACTGAAAACCTTGTTGACACCGACTGGATTCCTTTGAACCTGGGATTAGTTGAAAACCAGAATGGAAGCAATGTAGTTGACGTGATGGATTACCAAGTAGAGTATGCTGAATTCAGAGGGTCCGATATGAACACATCCGGAACTGAAAGCGAGTTATATATAAAAGGAGAATTTAATCAAAATATCTCCAAAAGCTTTTATGGATGTTTTTTTGCCAACATTTCTACATCTGCAAAAAAGGAAGCCTCCATACCGAAATTAGCACTTCAAGTATAAGGCATGAGAGGCAACAAAAAGAAACGGAGTTGGTGAAACCATTTTGTGATACAATAGTTTGTCTTCCTATTATTGAAGAAAGTGAGTTTGAGAAGGAAGAACATGGTCAAAAGGTTCATGTAGCATCACACATTCCTCTAGATGATGGTATGGAATATACTGAACCGTTGAATTTGAGCCCGAGAGGCTACAAAATGAAATGGATTGCTCAAACCTTTCTCTTTTTTTCTCTTCTTCCTAATGAAGGGGGTAAGTTTGAGAAGGAAGAACAACATGGTCAAAAGATATGTGAGGTTATGCAATTTTCTGTAGATCAAAGTACGAATAACGAAGAATCAAATTCAAGTGTAAAGCACGAGAAACAAAAAATGGAAATAGACTCAGCAAAACCAGTTTTTGCTGCAATGGTTTCTCTTCCTACTACCAAAGATGGTGAGTTTTGGAAGGAAGAAGAACATGGTCAAAAGGCTTCTGAAGCAATGTGTGCTTCTGTAGATCAGGATATGAATAGTGAAGCATTGATTTCAAGTGTAAAGCACAATAGACAACAAAAGGAAGTGCAATTGGTGAAACCTGTCTGCTGCAGTTGTTTCTCTTCCTACTACTGAAGAGGGTGAGTTTAAGAAGGAAGAACGAGAGGGACCAAGGGTTCCTGAAGCAATAACTTTCTATAGATCATGATATGAATAAAGAAGCATCAAATTCACATATAATGCATGAGAAACAACAAAAGGAAATGAACTCATCAAAACCAGTTTGTGCTCCAATTGTTTCTCTTCCTACTACCAAAGATGGTGAGTTTGAGAAGGAAGAACAACATGTTCAAAGGGTTCCTGATGCAATGAACATTTCTGTAGATCAGGGTATGGATAGTGAAGCACTGATTTTAAAAAGAAAGCTTAAAAGCCAACAAAACCTGCCTGGTATTGAAGAGGATGAACTTGAGAAGGAAGAACATAATGGTAATGATGGCTCCAAACCCACTGAGACACATGTAAGGAAGAGTAAGAAGAGGGATTTGGGCCACTCGGACATAGACCCATCGCGTAGAAAGGTCCCTGAAGCAATGCACTTATCTGTTAATCAGGGTATAAATGGTGAAACATTGAATTTGCAAATATAGTGAAGAGATGTTGTTCATGGACATTGATGTTTTGGATACTAAACATGTAATGCAGCATGAAGACGAGCAGCCAGAAAAAATAAATTGTGCAGATGGTGCAACATTTTCCAATCATCGCGATAAGGAAGAAGGCATTGAAGAGGGAGAAATTTCAGGTGACTTTAGAATGGATGAGAATTCAATTGATACGTCTTCTGCTGATTCTTTGATGACAAGTACAAAAGCCCAAATATGTTATTGAAAATATAGTATTTCCTTTTAATATACAGAATGAAGAAAAAGAAAAACAATAAGAATCAACTCAAGATGCCGGTAACAGTAGACTAATGGAACCTAGAAAAAGCGATAAAAATGGGTTTCGCAATCGAGTTGACCTTGGAATCTCTAGGGAAATTGTTGATTATGGAGATTTAGTGGAGCATACTTCTGTATTGATGACTGGAAAAGGTGAAGACAGTCGAATTCAAGGGGTTGTTGGCTTGCACCAACTTTGGCCAACAAAAAGGTCTCGCCCAAAGTCTTCTTCGAAGAAGAAGCCACTGACAATCATCAAAACAAATCTGCAGTAGAGGTATGATTTTCATTTGCATCCTTTTGTGAATTGTGCAATAAAACATTCCTATTTTCTCACGTTAACTTTACACTGGAACATTTAAATATTAGTCTCTGTCTTATTATAGTTATGTATATTTATCTCTTTATCTGCATGGAGTGTTTTGATCGCTTGATGATCTTCCTTTTTATTGTTTATTTTAGTTTTGTGAGGGATTAAAATAAGATAGTATAGACTTATTTTGGGCTTATACTACCTTGTTTAGTATTACACTCACACACACACACACACACACACACATTTCTTGAGTGTTCATCCACATGTTTATGCCTGTTTTCCCCCTTTGCATTTTAAATATGCTAAGTTCTCAAAGCTTATTTGTCTTTTCATCAGTTCCCTTGTTTCTATGCACTGTTTGCAACTCGTAAGGTTTTGGGAAAAGCACAAGAATTTAAAAATTATGTATATGAATTTTCTTATTGTCAACAATAGGTTCATTTGTCAATTTATGTGAATTGAATGTGCCCATGCCACCTTGCCACTCCATGATGCAGAGTCATTTGAAGAATTTTTTTACTCTTTTCTATTGAAGTGTTGAATGATACAGACTAATTTGATTTTCAGTTAGTATTACTTTTTATTTTGAGCTATTGTTTTTAAGTTGTGATATGGATTTTAAAAAAAATTAGTTAATAGTTAAATCCATTGCTTTTGAAACCAATCTTAAGATCGTTTATGGAATAGTCCACAAATATGTATGTTTCCAGTGTCATTGATCTTTTGTTTGATTCATTTCATTATGTAGGAAAAGA